TATATTATTTTTATAATTATAATATATATTTTTAACACATGGATTTTTTAATAGAGATCTTTGCTTTAGTTACTAAAAAACTAAAAATACATTTTCTTTAGGTTCATTGTCTCTTATATCAATTGTCATCGTCATTTACCTGTGAAAACCTTCGTCATGTCAATAGCATTTATAATTATAATATATATTTTTAACACATGGATTTTTTAATAGAGATCTTTGCTTTAGTTTTTTTTTTACTAAAAATACATTTTCTTTAGGTTCATTGTCTCTTATATCAATTGTCATCGTCATTTACCTGTGAAAACCTTCGTCATGGATCTCGGTCAATAGCATGTGATTCTCGTCTACGCCGGTGTCGCTAGCAAGAATTTCCCTCAACTCTCTCACATTGGCAGCTTGATTCACGCTCACGCCGATCTTGACTTGCCGCGGCTGCTGAGACGTGTAAAGGACATTCACGTAAAGATTCATTTGACGATGATTCTGCGGCACCGGTACTGACACGCAGAGAAAAGGATCGAAGGTGTTCGATTGCCGATGACATCTCGGGCAGGTCAAACTGGACCGAAACTGTGCTTGAAACACAGCATGCACGAACGAGTTGTTACATCGTACGTGATTCGCTAGTGTCTCGGCGGCGACGATGTCATCGGGTCTGCCAAATGAATTCTGCAAACAGAGAGAGAAAGATTTATTATGTTAAAAAATAAAATTAATATTCCCCGTCAAGAATTAATAAAATTATGTAATGATTATATAATAATTATGAAGGTAGCTGTTTTCAATTTTGACAAATACAACGAATCTTTTGCATCAACCTAACTAAATAAATCATTTTTTTAATAACGGTTTTACAATGCGGTTTGTTTTACGTAATCTAATTATTTCGGACAAAGCTGTCTGTCGCTAATAACGAAGCCGTACCACAATAGCAGTCGGCGACAGCGAACGTGGGTAGATTCGGGCGAATCGGCCCACATTATTCGTTACGATAACGCGAAACTCGGTTATCGCTTCAAGGTGCATAACGACAATCATTTGTAAAGCTATTAATAGATCACAGTCGCTTGACAGCTCCCTTTTCCGCGTCGGCACGTACTGCCTCTCCCCCTCCTGCTCTTCTCGCTGGAGGGAAGACGTGGAACATCAGAGAAAAGTGCCGACTGAACGAACTCGGCCTGGCACTATTGTCACCGATGTGTTAAAATCCATGTACTTATTAACGTTGCATTTAGCGATCTAATGTCAGGAGATACGTTGTACGATTTAATATCCAAGAATTTATAATGATTTATTACACACATATATATATATCATCGGGAATATAATTTTTATAAAAAAATTATTTATTTTATCTGAAGTCAGTTTACATGGAGATTCGGAGAAAATCTTGCAAACATCTATAAAACTATAATAATATATATAGATAATTATTTTTTGCCGTTCGCTGTATGATGTAATTAAATGATTTAATATGGCTGTATATATAATCGAAGCTTACGCTATCTTTCGATATTTTATTATCAATTGATAAGTTTACATATGCGTAAATATTTATATATATATATATATATTTCAAATATTTCAAGAATTTAATTTTATCACACAAATCTGGGACAAGAAAAATATTATCTCGAATAATCAAGGATTAACTTTGTCAAATAAAATTTTATCGATAAAATCGAATTAAGAAAAAAAATATCACAGAAGAAATAATTTATCATTCCTGTGTAAAATATCTAACGTGTAACTCGTTCGTTCTGTATTTCGTCTAATTTCGATATAATAGGGTATAAGATACGACGAGAGATACGACGCGAAAGTTTCTTTTAATAGGATAATAAGTATTCCAAGTCGCGTTTTTTATAGTCTTTGACTAGCTTGTACCGATATAAATGCGATTTCATAAAAACTTGATCTCACAGATGCACGAAGTAGCGGTAAATCGCACGTTCCAACACAGGTGGTAGAAAACTTCATGCCTACAACTATTTGAACATAAAGATGGTAAACTTATATTAGCTATACTTAGGATAGGAAAGGATTACTTATATAGGAAAGTTATGTAAGAATCATTATCGGCGAACTATTCGCATATCTTATACGCATTGTATAGATTTCGTTACTATAAATAAAAGAGATACATATACATATGTAACTTAACCCTTGGAAGAAAACCAATATTACATCGAAGAAAATTAAGTAACTTTAATTAGGTAATACTAAGTATTATTTATTATAAAAAATAAATATGACGAATATAAAATTAAATATTAAAAAATGAAATATTAATAATATTACACAGAAAGATGTACAATAAAGTAAAATTTAGAAATATAATATTTTATATGCAAAATAAAAATTAAAATCTTACTCTTATTTTCTGTCGGATTCGTAATAAAATCAATATACAAAGTTATACATGCAACGGGTAATTATAAAAAATGTTTTGATATAATCGCGTGATATCGAGGTAAAATTATGTTGAAATATTTAGTTTATGTAATATCTCGAAGATACTTTTGAAATAATAACAAAAGATAGGCGACAGAATCGTTAAAGCGGAATACCGCAAATGATAGCATTTGACCAGCGCCATGCGATATCCGCGCGTTCGAAGCCATATAATTTATAACACGCGATGAAAAACCACAAAATGGGATAATTATCTGACTTGTCACACAGGATGTATCAACGATCCGGTTGCCGGAAGTAATTTCCGATGCGTACGACTGGAACGAACTCGCGCGGAGCTTACAATTGGTCAATGTCAGATCGGTGCACGTGCACTCGAAACTCGTATGTAACAAATGTTACACATACTTTGAATCGATAATAGATATCTGCGTGTATCGGTAATATACCCTGCATGAATTCCTGCCGTCCATCTTCCTTTACATCTTCTTCGTGATCAGTTAAAAAAGACAGATTGAAAATATCTTTTAATGTATATAATACGATAGTCTCATAAAGGAAATTGCATACTTTGATAACGAGCAGTATTCAGATAACGCTCGATAAATATTAGATGTTGAATAATAAAGTATCGCGAACGAGATATCAATTTTATATCAACGATCATTCTAACATGACATGATTTTTTTCATAAAAGTATACTCTTATTTTTATATATCTCGATTTATAATAAATATTTATATTTTATATACTTTAATTTATACATAAAATCTTAAAGAAGCGTATTTTTTCTCGCTTACAAGATAAGCTTATTATTACACGATCTAATTGTTTCATGCTCGCATTAAATGGAAGAAAGTAATGTCGCGAATGTTTCTCGCGGTTTATAATTAGCGATACATTAAGTAGTTTCGGTCTGCGAATTCGTGCATCATGCGTGCGTATGCGATTATCAATGCATAGAATTCGAAATATGCGCTGAGACAGCATAATTTTTTATCATCGCGTGTACGAAGGATGATGGGCGTGACGTTTTTTTCCCCTTGTATCCGAGCTGCTTTAGCACGTGTGCTATAAATAGTGTCATGTAAATATTTTCCTAACAATTACGTTGACTCCTTTTCCTCCTCTTCTCTCTCCTTACACGAGAAGATGACTTACATTCATGATAAGTTTGATTTCGTTTAAATTGTTAATATATGTATTTATATCAACTGTTAACAGAGTTGCAAATAAGTCATTGTAACTTTTTGCTACCTGTCATTCACAATTATAATTAAAATTAAAAATAATAATTAAAATTAATCCCGCAAATAAGAGATAAAACTACTTTTCCTTTTAATAATATAATTTTAACAAAATCTTGGAATTATAAAAATATAAAAATTTGGTATGATCTTGGGATTTATATATTTTAATTAATCATAATAATAGATATATTTTTATAATTTCTATTCCATGATTAATCTAATATATAAGCATAGATTAAGACACACATTATCCATAATAAAAAAATTGACAAATTAAAAGAAATTTATCATAAGACAGAATCGATAATATCAGTTATTATTTATTTATTTCGCTAAATTAATTATAATTATCAAATTTATTAAATATAATATATATACATACGAAATAAAAACCAGACAGTCTTGAGAAATAAATTTATATTTCAAAATTCGCACGCATATGCGTGTGTTAATCTAGTTATTATTTATTAAGACGTTGACAGGAATAAGTTGATCAATTGTAAAGTATGAAATGCACATCGCGCGCGCGCGCGTATGTTGCTACCGGATGACAGTAGTTAAGGTCATATGTACATGTCGTAATTCGCAAAAAGTATACGGTAATGCAAACTGATAACTGGATCTCCGTGGCCCCATTCAAGGCCGGTCCTCGTTACGGTACTGGCTCCTGTGTTCGAGACTCCGGTTTCCTCGCGCTCGACTTTACGGAGACGTCGCCGTCGCTCGCGATGTTTCGCGCGAATGTATGTCGCGGCCAGCGTGGTTTCTCGAGAGGCATCCTCTCGAGAAAAATGTGCAAAGTGTACTCTTTTCACTCGAAACCAAAATCCGAGAAGATAAAAAAAGAAAAGCCTGAATAGTCCCCGCGCTTCGCGGGGACAACAGCGAGATAAAAATAATTAAGCGTTCGCTTTAATTAATATTGGTCTATTAATTTATTATCTCTAATAATCTCAACGATGAAATATATGTAGATACACCAATGAGTGCCTTGTTTGAGCTAATTTTTACGAGTATATAAAATAAATGTATTTTATAAGACAAAAGACAGAGCAATAAACGTGAAAAATATAATTATATTATTTCTAAAAATAAAAATATAGCATTACGAGTGGAAAATATAATTTGACTCGTTTTATTGTCTTTATTATAATTATATTAGCTTCAATCTTATTTATAAATTAAAATAATCTCGTACGAGAAATTTCAATAAATTAGCATTAGTCTATTTCCATCTTTTAATCCTTCATTCGCGATATCGGCATCTTTCTCATTTTTTAACTCAATTCATATATTTAAAATGATGTTAATAATTAATATATATTATACATTTAATTTAAAAATATCTACGAACGATTATAGAAAATTACATAAGAATTATATTGCCTATTCGGACATATTTTGTTTCAAAAAATCAAAAATTATGTTACTGACTGGAAATAAAACAATTTTTTTCGCGATTAAAAAAAGAGCGTTTCTAATAAGCGACGAGATGTCACACTTTATTGATATTCGAATCGAATTATCGGACTCTTTGGTAGAAGAAACAATCTTATCTCGCTGGCAAACGTTTTATAAACGCAACCGAGAACCGAATGATAAGATAACAGCGGGAGATGAATAATCGCAGAAAAATGAAGATATCAGGATGCTAGAAACGCGTCTGTTTGCACATAATTTACAGAGTATCTAAATTATTATTTTTATGTCCCCTCTCTTAGTGAATGGAAAAATAATATCTTTTATCAGATTATTAAATTTATATTTCTATTTTCTCTTTATTTGTATTATTATGCTAACAAGTGATTATTTTATTTAAGATGAAAAAAATTGCGATATAATCATCGATATTTTTCAACGATATAAGTGATAATGATCGATAATTGTGATATTTAAATGATTTCATGACACGTATTAAATTAATAATAATAAATAATTGATAATCATCACAATTAATCTCTCTTTCTCTATCTAAATGGTTTCATAATAAGTTTTAGATAAGCAATTTATCAATTTTAAAAATTTTTCGATAAAGCTTACTTTCCGAGATATTTTACAGTTTCAAGTTAAAAAACTCACCCTGTATATAAACGCATTACATTTATTACTGTGTGTGTCACAATTATCTGATAGACCCTAGTAATCACTTAGAAAAATATAAAAGGATAAAAGCAATCCTTTTGTGTGTCACGTAATATTTTTTTTAGACTAAATATCGTCTCTTTCCCACCTCTCATACCGATATTTTTACTCTCATGCTATCTACCTTGAGATTTCGATGTTGGAAAACGTAGTGCGTATTTTGGAATGTGAAACAAATTTGGGTTAAGGTCTCGATCGCTTCGGCTTCTTGATTCGCGAAGTAAAGTAAGTAAAATATAAAGCCAAGTCTATCGAAACTCGTTCCGTTTATAATCATCAAACTATATTTTACGAGCAGTAAAATGGGCCACATTTTATCTGAATAATAAATAAAAGAGATAGTTTATAATTCATTCGTGACAAATGCATTTGCATTTCAATAACAATTTATTCGATTAAACAGATATTTAAATAATTTTTAAAATAATTATACGGAAAGTATTTTCGTTATCCTGATTATTTATATAAATATTGATGAAAGTAAAATATTTTTTATCGTGTACATTTTAGTTAAAGAATTTTAGTTTCAAAACCTATATTAAAAAATTGACGAAAAAAACTGAAATAAATTAGACAAATTTAAAAGACAAATTAAATTATACACGAATGCTTGTGCTTACACATTTAATGAAAACTCAAATAATATTTATTGTATTAATATTATAGTAACAAATAATATAAATAAGGAATAAAAAATCCAAATACCAACAAATAATGCAAACAACATAAATAGAATTTTAATCAAATAACAAAGTGAATAAAAATTTATTCGAATAATATGCGTGTATGTACCCATCTCTGCTTTCGAGGAAGATATTAATATTTCAAAAACGATCAACTGCTTTTTTCAACAATCAAAAAAAGAATATCGACATGTCCCCTTTGAAACATCTCGCGCTTTCTCCTTTTCTTCTACTCTCGTTTTTTCCAATATCTTATTTTTTACTCTGTGGTAAAGAGAAAATCCAAAGAAGCACCGACTGTATCTTTTATTATCGAGTTTCCGGGTGTTTTTTTTTTTCCCTGAGACGCAGTTTAGAGCTTAAGATTAAAACACCCACACGGTTATTCTCGGCTCGTCCATTCTCGGCGAACGATTCGAGATGAGTCGAAAACGGACGCCGCCTCGTGTGCTCGAGTCATTCGTCACGCACGCTAGAAAGATATTGTCAACGTAAGGTATATATCGTGCGCAATCGTGCCTACGCACGATATACACGCTCGGCTCCGCACACGCGATGTGTGAGAGAAAGAGAGAGAGAGAGAGAGGAGGGAGAAAGAGAGACATACACTGTAGCTCGACTTTCGTCGAGCGTTTCTCACATCGCCGGCCACGACGAGCCAAAAAGAAAGTTTCTTTCGTCGTGACGACCAGCTCGACGATTAAATTACCACACGAGGAATGCAGTTAATTGTCTGCTATGCTTTTAAACGTCTACCACGTGTTAGTTTTAATTATATTCGTTCTGCTTGAGTTTCTTTGGATTTTACTGTAGAGATGCCCTGTTATTTTAATACTAGAAAGTGTCGATATACGTTCTTCTTTTTTTTTTCTTCCACGATTATTGGGTCAATAATATTCATCTATATCGATATATATATTTTAAAATTATTATTATTATTAATTATTAAAATTATTATAATTCATTAATTATTCAAAAAGGACGAAGAAAAAGAAATATCAGCTATATTGAATGCAAAGAATTGATTAAGAACACATCCTTCATAATTTCAGATAAGGCTGTCTTTAAAATACGTACGCATAATTTTAAAAAGTGTATAGATTAATTATTAAAATAATTATTCGATTAATTATTATGAAATTATTAAATTAATTATTCGATTAATTATTATTAAATGTCAAATTTGAAATATGACAGTCATGTACACGTGACTGTCACGATTTGTACAGGTAAGGCACTCTTTTTTTCTCTCTCTCTTATATGAGATTGTAATTTTTATACGGTCGTAATCGCTCACCTTTATGATCTTGTATTTCTTCTTGGTCGCTTGATTTGATCTCGCCCCTGGTGCCGTACTTCTTCGAGTTGAGCTTGTTGCGACGCGAGAGATCGATCTTGTACTGATCGAGGACGAAGTACTCGGCGAGGATGTCCGTGTGCGAGAGACACTGCAGCACCGCGTTCATGAAGCACGTGTTGCCGTGATTACGTAGGCCTATGACACCCGGCACCCGATCGGGCGGGATGTGCGCGGGCCGCGGGGGCGGCGGTACCCTAATGTCACCCGCGCTCGATCCGAGATCGTCGCCGCGCTGATGATGAATCGACGCGGCGGCGGCCTTGTGACCCTGAACGCCCACGTTCGACATGTGGCGCACCATCTTATTGATGAACTTCCTCCAGGAGGGCCGGCGAAAGACCTTCTTGCCGCAGGGAGCTTGTCGCTCCTGGCAATCTTGGACGATCTGCTGATTACCACCGCCGTGCAATCTCGTCGTGTTCTGTCGTTGCTGCTGCTGTAAAATGCCCTCCGTCGTCGCGTGTCGCGCCGCGTTCCTGGCGTTCTCCTTGGCGCTCGCGGTGACATTGTTGCCGGATTCCTTCGAGTCGAGGGAATGCGAGGTCTGCTGATGCTGTTTCGGACGTCGTCGAGACATCCTGCTGCTGGCACTTTGAAACGGGTTTCTCGGCAGTGTAAAGGTGCGCTTGAGCCGCGTGGCGCCGCGCGGCTCCGTACGTTTAACCTCTTCCTCCACGCCCAGCTCACCCTCGGACACAGATTTCATCACCGACGTCGTTGTCCCGCGTGCCGTTCCCACGGCGACGTTCATCGCCAGCCGCTACGGCTGGTCTGGCTGGCTACGGGGCTTGACTAAGTATTAGCGCGCGAGAATCGTTCGGCGTATTTTTCGTAGAAACGGTCACACGCTCGCGCCGACGCTCACATCACGTCCCGGTGACCGTTTTATATATTATCTCGACGACGACGGGACGATCGCTGTCGCGCGATCACCGCGCTCCTGATGATCCACCGCACCACACGTCGCACGTATAACGCGGCACGCGCCTACGCGCTCGTACGCGCAACACCTCGCACGGAAACTGCACCACGGCGGCCATTTGCCGTGTATCGCACACGGAGGCTTCCGCGATTTCGCCTCGCGCAACACGGGGCATAGACCGCGCGCGAACGGAGAGAAGCGGCCGCGCCGTCGCAGTCGCGTCTGTCACCCTCGCAGGACTGTCTAGTTTCTTCGCCGCGGTAACGCCATCTGCGTACATTTCGGGAGCCGAGATACACGTGGCGTTCGCTTTTATCGATCGACGAAATTTACTAGGGTTTGAGTCTCCGCTAAAAAGGGTTTGAGTCTCCGCTAAGTGGATTTAAAATTTAAATCTCTATTCTAAATGAGGTTTTTTTGTGATCTGACATTTACATACATCATATGATATATATATTTCGAATATTATAGTCTTATCAAAAATAAATAAAAATAAATTAAATTTCATAGAGAAATAAATTAAATTTCTCTGATATTAATTTCAATTTTATAGAAATAATTATTTTAACAATGAATGGAATTTGAATTTCTACTAAATAAAATTCGCGAAACGCTTATTAGAAAATTATTCTAGATATTTAATCAAATCTCTTTTATTGAATCATTTTGCTGTTTCCTTTTACTTTATTTCTGCTTTGTCGGTATACCTGTGATCTGACATTTATATACATCATATATATAATATATATATAGAATATTATAAAATATTAAGTGTGGATTCAAAGTGCCGAAATTAAGAGTCATGCTTTAGCAAAGTCGAGCTCAAGGTAAAAAGCCGTTGGATGACATGCTAGTCAAACAACTGTCACCACACAAATTAACAGTGAAAAGCTCATGCTGAAAAAAGAAACAGCATTGCAACATGTATTTTGGGGAAGCAAAGGATATTACAAACAATTATAATCTCTCATCAAGAAAAGCAAAAAAAAATAAATAAATAAATAAAATTTTTCTGATAAACATTGATTTCAATTTTACGGAAATAATTATTTTGACAATGAATGGAATTTGAATTTCTACTAAATAAAATTCGCGAAACGCTTATTAGAAAATTATTCTAGATATTTAATCAAATCGCTTTTATTATATCATTTTGCTGTTTCCTTTACTTTATTTCTGCTTTGCCGGTACACCTGTAATCTGACATTTATATATATACATCATATAATATGTATATTTAGAATATTATAATTTCTCTCTCATCAAAAAAAGCAAAAAAAATAAATAAAATTTCTCTAATAAATATTAATTTCAATTTTTTACGGAAATAATTATTTTAAATAAAGAACAATATATATATATATATATATGTTATTTTGTATAACAGATGATGTCACACTGATATCACATTGACATTGACATACTGGCACTGATACTAAAAACTGAGAGATACTGATACTAATACAATATATAATACAATTGCATAATTGATTTGCATCATGTGATACCGAGAAAAATTTTGTTATCATCAAGATTAATAATAATAAAAGTTAATAACGATCAGAATGTACTAAATCTCTTTCTAAATCCTCTTATTTTTAATCGTCAATCACTCGAGAATATACCTTTGCATTTTCATTAACTTGATTATAATTAAGTTGATTTTAAATTCATTACAAATCCGGTGTAATTTTCAATCGCCTTGAATATTATGTATTCGCCAAAAATAGTTTTACGTAGGTTACAAGGGTTACATAAAAAGCACGTGGCTTCACACACACAACTGTTTATATAAGCTGACGTTTACTAGCTCATTATTTTCTTTTCGACTTACATAATAACGATTACAAGGTGTTACAATCAATATTACTAATCAGAGAATAACTCATTTTCTTTAGAAGATAATATGGGGGCAGAGGTTGAATAACTGTAATTATTAAGGAATCACGTTGAAAACTGCAAGTGTTTGCCGGCATTGATTTACATATCGACTGATACAAGTAATTTTGACACTGGTCAATTTGTCCATATATTGATATGACGGTCACGTGACCGCGGATCGTGTAATGTAAGCGTGAGCTTTGTAAAAAAGCTCTCCATCGGTCACGGCTGTACTAATCTCGTGGTAGAAGTAAACATTGTAAATAGGCTAATTATATCTCTCTACGCGATCGATTATTCCAACATCTATATTAAGTAATATTAATTTCGCAAATCGCACTTACTATCTACGAGAACGCTGCCGATTACATGACTAGATCAGCGACAAAATAGAACTCGATTTTTCTATTTCTTTAAACTTAATTCAGCGATACCTGATTGCTGTAACAACTAATGTCACAATGTCAAGAAATGTCATACGGTCCGAGTAATTATTATCTTTCAACCATGAAAAAATAAAATGTGAGATTCGTTGTTCTATCTACATAGAAATAGGAATCAAAATCAATATAATTTTACCGAAATTATATCTCGATGCTAAAAATACGGAAAAATGTATCTTGCGCTAACTGTCGTATTTCCATTGCCGCAAATAAACGTAGGTGTATCATTTTCACGTGTCTAACGCATCGAAATCTGAACGCTTTCTAAAATCGCCGATTTCAATTCCTGTTTACAAGACATAGATTTATATATAACCGCGTGCCGTAGTGGTCATAAGGAAGTACTCGGTTGACAAGTAATTCTTACTCGTCGCAAGATTTGACCAAGGGATGAATGGCCACGGAAGCGCCCGAGCAACTCACGGTGTTCTGTATATAATCCTGGAAATTACTCTCGACAACCCACATAAGTCTCTTAAATCCAGGTACGACTTAATAAAATAAAATAAAAAAATAAATAACTAAAAATAAAAAAAATAAAAATTTTTCTTTTAAATTTAGAAATGTGTATCTTATAACTATGTCTTTTTTTAATTCGTAATTTTTCGTACCTTTCCGGATTTGACGTTAATTCCGACGACTTTCGGGGGACATCTGCGTACCGGTTGCTCCAAAGTGTTTACGATACCAACGTCCAATACCCACAGGATTTCCTGAATGTCCAGAGCTACGTCCACAACGCTCTGCAGGGCCTGACAGTTGCCCTCTTCCTGAATCGCCCAACAGGGGAACGGTGTCACTTTCGGTGCGCAGTCCTTCGCTTTCAGGGACATGACACCTAAGGTGAAGGGTACACCCGGTTTGTAGCGCGGCATCGCTATGATTATGTCCTCCCTGTAGATCTGCGCCCTCGTGCCGATTACATTCCTGGGGATGTAACGTCCACTCGTTTCGTAAATGTTCCTCGTGCTTTGACATGGCCAGTCAAGGCTGTAGCCTGACAAAGGGAATGAGAGCTCCGGTAGCAACTGCTTGTCGCAAACTGCCAACGATAAACTGCTCGCCAGGATCGCCAGGCACAGAGCGCTCCTCGGGATTCTCATCCTGCGCTTGTCTTTTATGACAAGTTAAAGTAATGTTCCGGGTTATATTCTATAAAAGCACACACAATAAAAATTTAATTATTAAATTATTCTGAAAAAAAATCTCCTAAAAAATGTGATTTCTTATATAAAAATTTTTTCAAAAAAATTATTGGAAAATTATCAAAAATTGATGGGAACAGCTGTTATAAATATACAGCAAGAAATGATGTGAAAACTTACGAGATTTCCCGTGTAATCAGTTGGACGAAAATCTTTGAATATGCGACTCATTTATACTGCTTTATACTTATACGTGCGCTTTGATTATGAACCGATTGAAATTGCTTACATTTTTATGGTATATTACCGTCTTCTTGCACAATATTTTGTAACAATTTTCTTGCTTAAGATCGACGGAATTCGTAAAGAGGAAATGCTTTGTGACATGTATTTTTGAACGTCGTTTGTAAATAATAACAAATCCAGGAAGACGTGAAAAATGGAATGCTTTAGAATATAATAAACCAGGAAATGCAATGTGTATCAGGAAATTACCTCGCTCGTTTTATCAACTTTTTTATATTTTCGATTTCCGCTTCTACAAATAGTCGCTTCCTCCATAAATTTTTATAATTTACTTATTAATTATTTTTAATTATTTACTTATTTTTATAATTTATTTATTAATTTAATTATATTTATCCTTTAATTTTTGCCTTCAAAACTATAGTTTTTATTGTATCATTATTATCTGCAGACTAAAAATATAAAAAAATGCCTGAAATATTTTATATACATATTTATTCTTTAATTTTTGCCATAAAACTGAAATTTTTATTGCATCTTTATTAAATATAAAAAGATGTAAGCCACTAAGATATTTTTACAAATTTTTTTCTACAACAGATAAATAAAATTTATCTATATGTATCCAACATTATTAAATATTTCATTTTTATTTTTATTTGTATAATTATAACGCACTTTTGTATTATATATTGTATAATTTTTAAATTATGCGGATATATATTATGTTTGTTTATTTAATAGACCAAAATATTTTCATTTCAAGAGATTAGCAGAATCGATTTTTATATACGAGAAAAAAAAAAATTTAATATGCGCGAGATTTGTCAGCTAATCAAGAGTGATGAGCTCATATACACACACATGTATAGAGATTGTTTTTTATTTACCAATTTTTATTGCATCTTTATTAAATATAAAAAGATGTAAGCCACTAAGATATTTTTACAAATTTTTTTCTACAACAGATAAATAAAATTTATCTATATGTATCCAACATTATTAAATATTTCATTTTTATTTTTATTTGTATAATTATAACGCACTTTTGTATTATATATTGTATAATTTTTAAATTATGCGGATATATATTATGTTTGTTTATTTAATAGACCAAAATATTTTCATTTCAAGAGATTAGCAGAATCGATTTTTATATACGAGAAAAAAAAAAATTTAATATGCGCGAGATTTGTCAGCTAATCAAGAGTGATGAGCTCATATACACACATATATAGAGATTGTTTTTTATTTACCACTAATTCCTTGTGTTTACGACCGGTTTTGGCAGTTCCATTCCGCACATTTAGTACCTACTCGCGTGCGGAACTCCTTGAATGAACGTGATTGTTCCGCATCGCGATTAAATATTTTTTAAACCGAGAAATTTCGCAACGTGGCTGCGACATGACAGGATTATAAAACTGGCGTAATTCGGAGGATCTTACAGTTTACGGTCCGATTCATTCGCCAAAAGAGACGCGGTCCGAGGCGCGTCATAATTCAATAAAAAAGGAAAAATCGCGGAAAGGACGGCAAGGATGCTCTCTTTATGGGCGGTGACGTTTTTCGTCGCCGTTGCTCTCGTCGGTGCTGTCGAAGTACCAAAGTGCGAGAGGAACATCCTGTGGACCGGCGGGTCCTTCGAGTGGCCTTGCCCGGCCACCAAAAACATGTTCAAGAACAGTGGCCGTTATATCTCGAAAAATATCCTCGCCACCAGGACTGTTATCTATAAGGACGACGCCATCCTTGCTTTACCTAGGTATGAAAAATATGTAATTTGCACATTTACAAAACAATTATAATAGTTACGGATAATTTTCAATATTATTTCTGTTATAGTTATATTTCTATGCACAATTTTTTTCTATCATTACATGTGATAAAATTATTCTAGAGGAAGAGAGAACAAGAGTAGATCAAGATGCAAATAAATAAAAATTTTTGATAGTGTATCAAATTTTTAATAATGCAATATTTGATTAAGACTTTCATTTATTTATATATTAAAACATATCTATAAAAAATAAATTTCGATTATTCTATAAAAAAATGATTGTAATATTAATAAAGTAGAGAACTATTGATTATATAGTAAAAATTTACAATATCTCTTGATTTTTCTCACAATTATAGTAGAATTTTTAAACTTAATAAAATATCCTATAATAAAATATAATATTCAAAATTCAAATTTTATATATGTTTACACATAAAAAAAGATTTACTACAAAAATAAATCCACAAGATAGCAACATCATCATTTACATTATGTCTCTAACAATAAGTCACGCTAATATCGCAATGAAAAGTTCAAGGAACTTATATAAAGAAATAGCGGATCGTATTTGTATCTTTGATTCACGCAACGTAATCGTTCGTCTTTGATCGCGTCCAAATTAGGATAAAAAGGTAACCGCATTCTTGGGCAAGTTTACTGGTTCCGTAAGAGGAAAGTTCACTCTCGTGTTGCAAATCACGTGTGTTACGTCAGTAACGGTGCACGCAGCGTACGTTCTTGGAGAAATCTGTTAAGGAGATCGTTAAACAGATCATTCGACGTAAGTCGATCGTAAGGGGGGCGTGGTCGCGATCACAATTTCTCCAGAATGCGGAGAAAATAAAGGAATTATCTGTTCATAAAATTCCAATTAAAGTAGCACTTTAAAGTTTCGCTTTGAACATGGCAATCGAGAGAAGCAAGGTTGTAGACCTTGTCAAAGGTCACGCGATATTAATGTCTATCTCCGTGCGTAACAACGTTACAACATTATTCGGGCAATAACTAAGTAAGTATTTGTCACGATTTCTAAAAGATGTAAAAAATATTTTCGTAAACGTGATATGATGTGTGAAAAAAATATCTTATAGTAGATTTTGTACATATGCCTGTTATCTATAAAGTATCGTAATCTCGGGAAGTAATAAATAAAATTCAACTTAAATTGTCAGAAAACCTTACGCTAATATTATTCGAAAAAAATACGGATGAATCAATAATTTTTTAATAAGTCTAAAAATAAATTTGCTCGAAATGTTTTTTTCAGATTCAAGCCTGGCGTGCCAGCGACCTTAGCCAGAGTCTCGTTGAAAGATAAGAACTGCCAGGCCAATCTCCTCCCTTTCCCTTGCTGGTCCCTTCAAGAAGAGGGAACATGCTCCGCGTTGCAAAACGTCGTGGACATTTATTTAGATCCCCAGGAAATCCTATGGGTGCTGGACACGGGCGTAGTAAATTCCCTCGAGCAGCCCGAACGCAAATGCCCGCCAAAGGTTGTTGCTATCAACATAAAAACCGGCAAGGTGAGATAATTCGCGTATATCTAAAGACCTAGCAATAAAAACGGCATGTGCGTCGTTTAATTCTTCCCTCAAAGTATCTTATCGAAGGATAAGAGCGATATCCTCGTGAAGTTCGCTACAAACTCGGTATTTATATAAAGAAAAAGAAACGCTTTGATATATATTTATTTGTTTAAATTTATGGGCAAAAAAGAATTTATACTCTTATTTATATATATTTATATAATCTTTTGTTAGCATTTATTATATTTGTGCATGCCATCACGTTATTTATTCTCATTGCTTTTCCTTTTTTGCTTTCACAAGTGTTATGCAATAACAGAATATTAAACGCTTTTCTTACCGTAAAACAAATTGCCGCAAAATATATGAGCAAAAGACTGTTATTATATTTTAAGTATAATTATTAAATTAATACCAATTAAGAAGAGGAGATCTAAGTTTGTTAAAGAAATTGCGATGCTATTTCTATATTTCTACTTTGAGAAGAATAGATTTTTTAAAGTCGCTTTAGAAAAATTATAAAATTATAAAAATATAAATATAATTAATATAATATTTTAATATATTTTACATTTTTGTCTCTCCCTCTCTCTCTCTCTCTTTCTCTCTCTTCTTCAATCGCGTTAATAAAAAACACGAAAATGCAATTGTTATTTCCTATTTCAGGTCGTAAAAACCGTCGATCTTTCCGGTCTGACAAGCACCACGTCTCGCCTACAATACGTCGTGGCTGATTACAATTCGGACGGTCGCGTGTTCATCTACGTCTCCGACGCGGCCACGAGGGCGATCCTGGTGTACGACGTGACCTCGGGTCGCGGATATCGCGTCGTCCTTCCGCAGGCCGTGACCATAAACTGCAACCGCAGGGACGTTCTTTATCTCGCCCTGATGCACCATCAGGACGGTAGCACCTGCCTCATCTTCACGTATCTGGGCAGCAACCGTCTGTTCTCCGTTCGAACGGATCATCTCCGGAACGGTCACGCCCAGGGCAAGATACACGATCTCGGGCTGAAACCCGCCCGGCTCGTTATCCTGGGCACCGACAACGGTAACGCGCTCTTCTTCCGTTACGAGGGCAACTCCGAGGTGTACAGATGGGAGTCCGATACTCCCTTCGTGCAGGCCAATTTCCAGCTCGTCTACACGAGCACCGAGTGCGCCCTGGCCACGCACGTCGCCCCCGATTACAAGAGGAGCTGCATGCGCATCCTGGAGAGCAACTTCCCGGATTACATGCAGGGCACCGTCGGCTGCGGCGCTAATCACGCGTTGAATGTTATGTAAAGAGCGAGAGAGAGGCTCTCCCCCTCGCTCTGCCGATTGCGACTAGTCAAGGAGATGGTATCGTTATCACGGGCGCTCGCTAATTAACAGCGATAGAGATTTCTCGATCTTTTTTGTTTGTATCGGGAAATCAGATTTACAATTTATAATTCTCGATAAGTTTACCTCTCCACGCTATAAATAATGTATCTTGCGTTGATTGTTGTATCTCCATTGCCATAAATATATAACAGAATGATCTCGCTTATCATACAAAAAATACACGCATACACACACACACACATACACACATCTACCTTTAATGTCTGTAGCGTCGAAATTTGAAGTCAACGAAAAATTATGTCGGCTGCGACGCGTTCTTTGCATAGCCGACGAAGCAAAAACTCTTCAACAGTAAGCAAAATGTCAATCGCTGACATTCGACGAACAAAGGAATAAACGTATTCTAAAAATTCGGTGTCTTTTAACTTTACCTTTGCAAATGCAACGCGATGCCTAACTAATTTGCGTCGGATAGATTGCGATAGGTCTTAAGACCAATAGTTTAATTACTTTATCCGCATTTTAATTCTTTTTTAGTTAATTAAATAATTTTAGAAATATTTGCGAATTAATTGATCGTTTTTGACTAAATGACCACGCGATAAGAGAATCGTATATCTCATTTTCTTCTTTAAATTCATCAAGAGTACTTTTCAAAATTTCACTTTTTTATACAGAATTTTACGTATACTTTTTTTTATAGAAAGATCAAAGAGATTGTTTTCTTTTTGTTTTAATCAAATTACAAAACTATACGTAAAATAGATTCAATGTTGTTGATAAAAAAAAAAAAAGAAACGTCGATAAACTGGGCGCATTGTCTGTAATTAAGATTTATAAAAAGGTTTATCACATCGCGTTGAGTACTTAAATTAGGGCGCGATTCGCCAACATCATTTTTTACGTCGATCCGTTTCTACAAAGCTTAGAATAATTAATAGCTTAGCCAAGAACGAGTATGGTTTTTAACACAATACCAGGTTTCCTTTCAAATTCTTACATTCGACTTACCAGCAGCATTTTACAATGGATTTCTGTTTCTTTCACGTCTTCTAACGATGGACATTGAACCCAGAAGCTATACGATACGTTAAACTTTCAATGAAAATTGATATTCAAGATCAAATTATCTTCCTGGCGTTATATGATATTATGAAAGTTTGAATGTATTTAATTACAGATTGGATAATGTGTGTCTGTTTGCTTTAATTTCGCCATGTTTTTATTTCGCTCTATTTTACTCTAATATTATTTTGTAATAATAATAATAATAATAATAATAATAGAGAAGTAAAGTAAAGTGATCTTATTGCATTTAATATAGGAGCAAAGTTGAATTTTAGTTTTAATTCAATTTTACTTGAGTGGGAAACAATTATGCATATAAATTATATTTAAAATATTACTAAAATATCTTTAAATAAAAAAAATACTATCAGATAAAATAATGATATTATGTTTCATAATAAAATTCTGTGTCATATTATAAACGATGTTGTATTGTCTAGTACAAGAAAAAATTTTTTGAACAAACAAAACTTTATTGATTCAGATTGACAACGATAAATTATAATGACAGTGATATTCTCTCTTTAATATACTCTTCATCAATTATTTTCATCGCATTCAATCGACTAAGCTGTAATTTGTTCTAATTAGTAAATTTACTCAGCATAATATAAGCCATATCAATTACAATTCAATGAACGTTAATTAGTATTAATGAGCATATTGTAAACTCTAATTTTATTCAGACGGTATTGTACAGAAAGTGTGTCAGATTTCATGACAATCAAAATTAGTCATAAGCGGTTAGTCGGACAATGGAACAAAATATTTTAGAGTAGCGAAAGGAAAGAATCGCTATTATTCTATTTAATTATGAAAGGATAAGCTATGTTTTTGTTAATTTATTCCAAATAATACATATATATGTACAAGTGTATTTTCAAAATACTTGGGATTGATTTTATTCCAATTGGCTAAACCGGCAACAATAAATATTCGTTAATTGTACACTTACAAATTATAATTATATACTTTGCACTGATATATGTACAGAGAGTTTAATTGGTATTACAAGCAGCTGACATTTATTTTTTTTTTTACACCTCAATAGTCACACTTGAATAATTCGAAGTAAATGCGTGCTGTTTGAAAAAAAACCCACATTATTAGTCCAATTATTATATTTTTGATAACGTGTGTTATCTTTAGAAAAAATATGAAAAACATTATTTTAATTTTATATTGTTTTGCTGGATTTTTTACGTTTTTAATAAGAAAAAGATTAAAAACTCTAAATAATCGCGAGATAAATATAAAAAAAGATATAGAAATGAGTATATATAACATTTTAATTTTTAGTATCACACACTATATTTATTTTATATAATCATTTATCATAAAAATATTACATATTAATACTTTTATTCTGATAGCGTCATGAGATTAAAATAAAATTGAACCGACGAAATCGTTTTGGAGTAAACGATTAATATAGGACGGAGCTCATTTTCACGTATCGTTTTCGCTTTTTGTAACGCAATTCACGGAGCTCAAGGTGCTTATCACGCCAGATAACCAGCTTCATGTAAATGCTCTCTGTAACTATCTATTCGTTTTTATCCCCGCAAGTTGAGAATTTATTTGTCGATCTTTCCAAGTCGTCGTTCCGATAGTGAGCCACTTCCACTTCGTCGTGGGAATGGAGGGCGATCGTGATCGTTCCATGGCATTTCCCATGGTGTTTCAAGCGTGCTATTGGCTAACCACGAAATATCCGATCTCTATCCGACACAACACGGACGCTCGATCCAAGACTCGTGATCGAATAATCGAACATTACCATACCTTTTGCATACCTCATTTGCCTATTTCGTGCTGAGCATTGCACGGTTGCGATAATTAAAGATTATGCGCTTTGTTAGCGAAACATCACATTATTCAGCTTTTTAATTAGCAGGAGAATTCGAGATAGTAACACAACAAATGGATACAAATGCGTCACAATTTTTTTATATTGAATAAAATTTGGCACACGTTAGATCCTAAAAAATCTTATAAAGAAATAATTTACATCATATAAAAAATATAAAAAATATATCTCTCTTTTTATGTATTTTTTAATCTAAAATAGATTTATATTACTGATTATTTTTAATATGTATTAATTAATATAGGATAGCAAGTTATTTTAATTCTGCATGTAGGCTCGCATATATATGACATTGCAGAAAACTACGTACACCAATAAATATGTCAAGGAGAAAAATTATGACATAATAATCACATACGGTCGAATTAATTCTTCATGATTTCCTTTGATAGCATCTATATGAGTAAAAACGTAAATTGTATCTAGTTCATTGGGTGCGGTCTTTAGTTCCGGGCACTTTCGAAACCAAGGACACTTACGTATTGATTATAATGCTATAGCTCCAGCACAAGTGCCGTTTAGTGCCGCATTATTTTATGGTGTTCTGTAATATCACAGTATCACACTAATGGCGATTGACCCTTTATATACGGGATATTTCATCTTAAGCTCTTTGAATAAAATTCTTTTGCAATTTTAAAAAATTCTGGAATCTATTTTCTTTCTTTGCAAAATTTAATTTAACGCAGTACAATTAATTTATAAGACATTAAGAAATATGTAATAAATTGATAATCGAATAATGGACTTTGATGGATCACACAAAAATTTTTTTAAAAATGGAAAGATACACGTGATAAGAGATTTAAGTCAAAAAAAAGCTCCGAGATCAATTCTTATATTTAAGTTCTATATATTTTATTTTGATAAGATGCAAATTGAGTAATTACAACTATAAAGCTAATTGAATTATTTCAGTAAGTTGCAGTAAATATGAATGATAATTATAGAGCATAATAATAACAAGTACATGTAACACATTACGTTATGTCTGACGAGTGATATTGATAAATATTACGGGAGATTCCAGCACGATCGATATGGTATAATCAAGTTTTTCTTCGATCAAGTTACGTGTTTTGATTCCTGCATTGATTATTTACAAAACTTAAATAATTATGCTTGCATAAATTAATACAATTATATATTATAAATCACATCTCAGCTTTTCATATGCATATTAATAATTGGTATTTTAATGAGGATTAAACAAAAAATTCTGTGTAAAAAAATATAAATAGAAAAAAATTGTAATTTTTTTTCAATAAAAAAATTATGTCAAGGGAAAAGATGCTAAATTAAATTTTAGAAAGAAAAGAAATGGATTCTAAGAATTCAAAATTCTTTAATATCGTTTTACTTGAAATATATATATACATAATCTTTGAATGTTCTATTATTTTTATTTTTTTGCTTTTATAAAGAAAAATATATTTATTTCTGGCAGAGCAATTATATATATAATTATCAATATATATATCGCAAAAATCAATAAAAAAATAAAACTAACCATATGATATCTTACCTTGCGAGCGAAGAACTTTCACTTTCAATTTCCTTTTTGTAATATTTTATCGCGACAAAAGCAATGTTGTTAACCTCGGACTTATACAAGTTAGACTATATCGATATAAAAGGATGTGGATGTCAAGAAATCACGAGCCACATTTCTCCCCACTTTTCGAAGGAGAGATTTGCACGAAATTGGCCATCGTTCGAATTCTAGTCTTGAAATGGCTCTTATGTGTAGGTGCACTGCCCCTGTATAAAGCGATTGTGCGTATATTGTGAGTAAAAGTACATACACACGTGTCTCGTTACACAATGCGTTCGAGTTACAGTGTCCTGTCTCCTAGTGAATTGCAAGTTCCAGGTCGATGCTGGATAATTGAATCTGTCAGTATTGTATCGGTGGAGCTTGTGGTACACGCCCGGTATAGTTCTCGCGATAGTTCACGCCTGTGTACGGATTTATTTAGTTACAGTGATAGTTATCGTTGTTAGAAAAGTGATAGCTTCGGAGTGACGATCTACTGCATTTTAGCTTTTAAATTTTGAAATATGAGGTGAGTAACGGATGCAAGAAATCATGACGTAGGAAAGATAGAAAAAAAAAGATAATTAAAAAACAAATTCCGAGATATTATCATATTTAAAAATATATACAAATATAAATAAATAAAAAATATATTATTTTATTTATATATTAAAAAATATATTATTATTGTGAGTAGTTTATCCTTCCCTCCCCCTTACTTAAGCTATCTTTCCGCAGTATCTGAATATCTCTGTTTTTAGTAAAGTGCTTTAAAATATTTCAAAAATAATACGAGCATCTTTTTATAAATGGAAAAATTAATTCGAACCTCTGTCTATTTCTTAATTTTTTTTAGGTATGCACTTTTCCTGCCGACGATTCTGTCATTCCTGTACGCCAGGATGAAGGCGGAAATGTTGGAAACCGTGGCGCAATGGCAGTTGCTTGACTTCGCACTGCCGTACGATCGTGGTTTTCTCGATCAATATCAACAGGAAAATATAGTGCTGACTGGTATCGAAATAGCCTGGGACAGAGTTTTCGTCAGCACGCCCAGGCTGCGCGCCGGTGTGCCGGCCACCTTGAGCTTCTTCTCCAGAAGAGCACCCTTGGGAAGTAGTCCGCAGTTGCAGGCGTATCCTTCGTGGGACTGGCACGGCGCTGGGAAAGGAGAAATCAATTGTACCAAGTTGATTTCCGTGTATCGAACCAGGCTGGATAGCTGCGACAGATTGTGGGTCGTTGATGCCGGTGTCATGACATCAATCGACGATTTCATGCCCGTCTGTCCGCCGAAAATTGTAGTCTTTGATTTAAAAACCAATCAAGTGGTTCGTCACGTCACTTTTCCGCGTGGGGTGAGTAAAGTGACGTTTCTTTTTGTAATAAAGAAAGTGGATTAAACGTGTCAATAAAGAGCCAAGTTTGATTTTTGAGTAGAAGCTAAAATAAATATGTGAAAATAACTGAAAAAAAAAACACATAATTGAAAAGAACAAAATGTTTATAGATAAAAATATACAGAAAAATATTTATATTATGAAATCTTTGTGTAAAAAATATAGATATTTTTATTTATTAAGCTGTTTTTAGACGCGACAAGAAATTTATTTATAATTTTATATATTTTAATATACATATATGTATGTATTTAAATTCAAATATTTTCAAGTTTAAGTTTAAATATATTATATGACAGATGAAATTATGAATAAATAGAATTCTGTCTTGAATTTTGTCGCGAATTATCGTAAATCTTTTCTAATAATGAATCGTACATTTGTTTTAAATAATAAATATATATTATTAAAAATTGCAGAAGAGACTGAAAAGAGAATGCCGGAAGTGACGAAATTATCTGCAAATGACTAGTATAATAGCTTTAAATTGCAACTAGAGAGAATAATTGAAAACCGGTTATTACTCTATTGTATAAAACAAAATAGAATTGATTTAATAATACATATGCTATATATGTGTACGCTTCTGAGAAACAAGTTACGTTAAAAACAACAAAAACATCGTTACGCATAAAAGTAATTGTTCTCGGTTTTTTATTATTAGTTTGCCTCTGTTTAGGTGTTAAGACCAGATACTTTGCTGACCAATTTTGTCATCGATGAAGTTTCGGCAAAAACATGTGATGATGCATTTCTTTACATAACGGATACTCTCGGTCCAGGTAACACAATTTTTAATTAAACCGTTGATATAATGTTTTTCAAAAAATATTCTATTTTAAACACAATAATATTTTTAATTTATTTAGATAAATAATGATATAATGTATAAAAATTTTTATATATTTTATTTTACCATTATATTGGAATATAAAAGAAGAGTAAGAAATAGCAAACTCAAATGTATCTCTCTTTAACAAATATGATTTTTTTCTTTTAAAATTATTTTTTTTCAAGCTATTTAAATCATAATATATATATAAAATATATATATAAAAAATAGATATTATATAAATTATTTATTAATATGTAATATTTAGGTAATTATAAAAAAATCAAAAAAATATTAAAAACATTAGTAATATAAAAAGTATTGGTTTTACAATAGAACTGAAATCGTTATTAAAGAGTGTCAAGATGAAGAACTTTATCAATGGATAACAATGTAAAGTACACCTTTCTTAAGGTTTCACACCTCTCGTCACGAACATCGACGTCACGAACGTTGACAGGATAGTAATAATCTTTTCATCTCTCTGCGCGTCTCTCTTTCGTGTCGGTGATTGACCTTTTCCCCTTCTCGATATCTTTTGTGTAAAGAGGCACATCCCACTACTTACATATCACCAAGTGTATATGATATGTAAACAAGAACGCCTCGCTATTTCTTATAGTTCTCTTTCTAGTCGGCAATTATAATAATTACAGAGAAAGATCATTTAAGTATTTAATATCTAACTTATCGCGCATGTATATTTCGAGAAATATTACGGCACACAAAACGACTTTATTAAATGTATTTAAAAAATTTATTAATGTTTTACGATAATATTTCCTCGGTTATATAACAAATTTAAGATTATTTTCACATTATATATAAACTGATATAATATAAATATCGTTCAATACTTGTCATAAAAATTTGTTATAATACTCTTATTATTATAAGGAATTATATATAAAAATTATTTTTCTTTAAAAATTTTGAAAGAAAACTAAAAAGTTCTATCTTTTTAGGAATTGTTGTCTTTGATGGTGTCAGGGATAGAAGCTGGCGCGTTGTTCACGCATCCATGTTTCCTAATCCAGATGAAGCAACGTACAAAGTGAGCATAATAAATTCGATTATTTAAAAAAGCATGCATTAATTATTAAATATATATATATATATAAAATATATATATAAAAAATAGATATTATATAAATTATTTATTAATATGTAATATTTAGGTAATTATAAAAAAATCAAAAAAATATTAAAAACATTAGTAATATAAAAAGTATTGGTTTTACAATAGAACTGAAATCGTTATTAAAGAGTGTCAAGATGAAGAACTTTATCAATGGATAACAATGTAAAGTACACCTTTCTTAAGGTTTCACACCTCTCGTCACGAACATCGACGTCACGAACGTTGACAGGATAGTAATAATCTTTTCATCTCTCTGCGCGTCTCTCTTTCGTGTCGGTGATTGACCTTTTCCCCTTCTCGATATCTTTTGTGTAAAGAGGCACATCCCACTACTTACATATCACCAAGTGTATATGATATGTAAACAAGAACGCCTCGCTATTTCTTATAGTTCTCTTTCTAGTCGGCAATTATAATAATTACAGAGAAAGATCATTTAAGTATTTAATATCTAACTTATCGCGCATGTATATTTCGAGAAATATTACGGCACACAAAACGACTTTATTAAATGTATTTAAAAAATTTATTAATGTTTTACGATAATATTTCCTCGGTTATATAACAAATTTAAGATTATTTTCACATTATATATAAACTGATATAATATAAATATCGTTCAATACTTGTCATAAAAATTTGTTATAATATTCATTAATATAATTTTTATGTTAACATTACGGAAAATATTATAAAGTATAATAAATATAATATTATAAAATATAATGATATATGTGCATGATATGTGATACACAATATATTCGTAAACAATGGAAATTTTTTAATTGTATGTATCTCGTATATTATTATATAATATTAAATGGGCTTTTTTTGCAGATCGGAAGCGATACTTTCGAGTTCCTGGATGGCATAATAGGCATAACATTTTCACCGAGACTCCGAACCGTTTATTACCAACCTCTGGCAACCGATCGTGTCTTCAGCGTATCTACCTCTGCGCTGCAAGCCGGACCGCTTTCTTTGGGACAACAATTACCCGTGACCATGGTCGGCAGAAAATCAAGTCAAGGTCTGGCGCTGGCTGTAAATCCTCGGGATGACACGATCGTGTTCGCCCCTTTCACTGAGACCGCAATTGCATCGTGGCAACCGCGAACCAATCGGCAGAGGTGCGAAAAAAACATTTTTTTAACGAAATATATTTTTAGCTATTAAATTACTCTAAAAAGTTTGATAGATAAATAGTACGTCAATTTAATGCGAATAAATTTTGAGAATTAATATTTATGAAGAACAACCTTTTTTAAAGGAAGAAAGGAAAATAATTTGATTTTATTAATTTGTGCACCAAAAAAAAAAATTGTTAACTTGACTAAAACCGTTCAACTAATTACCATTTTTTAAATTGAAATATTTATATATTTAAGTCAAATATACGTCATGTTAGATTTAATATGTCTTATTTGACTTAAATATATAAATATTTCAATTAAAAAAATAGTAATTAATTGAACGGATTTAGTCAAATTAACAATTTCTTTTTTCAATGTGTGTTTTCAGAGAGCATATATTATTTATATAATATTTTATAATAAGTTTCTATAATCGAGGATAACAAAATCTATCACAGAAAATCTTGAAACTGGTTTTACCATATCCAACGATCGCAATAACTAGTGTCAAGTTGTTAGGATTTTCCATAAGGAAATATAGTTGCTGTGACGTCAACTGTTTTACCTCCGTTATCTTAAAAAACAGACAAAAAGAACAGTTGGCAAATATTTTATCTCGTATCTAAATGTTATTAATCAAAATACTTCGCGGCCATAATTTTCATATACTTCTTTAGTGACATAATAATATCTTAGTTTATAAGACGATAGATTTTTATTGATCTAGAAAAAATCTTGAAATTTGATTGTTATCATACAATAAATGTAAGATAAGAATAATATCTTTATAATGCCTATTTTCATTCGATTACTCTTTAATTTTGGTAATTATTAAATTTATTAATTATGGAATAGGGGCAATTATATTTATTATAATTCTAATTGTGTGTGTGTGGATGCTTACTATAATTATAATTATATAAATATAATTCAAATAACTCTTTTTTCTTTTAGAATACTCGCTTATAGTCCCGAGGAATTACAATTTACCGCCGAGATTATATGGGCAAAACGCGACAATGGAAACTACTGGGTAATGTCGTCGAAATTCCACAAGTTCTTCCTGAAACAAGTTGATACTCGTCAAATTAATATCCGCATCATGAGGATCAGAACGAATGATCAAGCGCTGAATCCGTCTTTTAATCAGCAGATTGATCCGTATTTCTCATTACATTACTACAATAATACTTTAGGATTCTGAAGAGAAGCATTGATCGTAGAAACGTCCAAATGAGCATAATTGTGCCAGCATAAACTACATTGATGTTTGAAAAAAATCATCAATGGAACTTGATATGGAAATAAAATTGTGATAAAAATGTAGTAGGAAATATTTGCGATGTAGAAAAAATGCTTTGTAGATGTTTGTAAAATAAAATATTTTTTATGTTTGAATGTTCTCCGACTTGGAATGTTGATATTCTATTACAAGAATATAGTAATTGAAGATCTTTATATAAATTACAAACATTTTGAGATATTTTAATTTTTAATTTTTGCATAACAATATCTTCAAAAATTCTTAAAATAATGAAAAATTACTTTTTTCCGGCCTGTCCTTTGAAAATACACAATGGATTTAGAATATGTATAATAATCTTAATTTTTTCTTATATTGGTCATTAAAAAGAAATGTATTAATTCTTTAGTTATATAAAAGAAAAGTGTATTACTCTTTACTCAAGCATTGCCTAACTTTATCGAAAAACTTAGTTTAACTCGATATATTGCCGAGTTTGCAAATTCTTCTATGTAATAACGACATTCGCATTCTTTCGCCAGTTTATACAGCCCAATATCCAATATGTGTGCTCAATAACTCACATTCACAGAAGCGCTGCGATATTACAAGTTTGTGATATTTTAATAATATCGATTTTTAATACACCTTTTCAGCTCATGCAACGCATGCTTTTCTATACATTTTCTCATTTAAAGTCAATTTAATGCATATAATTGATTATGTAATTTTTTGAGCAAAAGACTGTTAATATGACAAGTAAAAATGCATACATTAATGATACATTAATAATACATAAAATAGAATTATTTAAAAGATCACCAAAGTTATCTGTCTATCAAGACTGTTAATATGACAAGTAAAAATGCATACATTAATGATACATTAATAATACATAAAATAGAATTATTTAAAAGATTACCAAAGTTATCTGTCTATCCTATATACAGGGTAACACGCTCCTAAAGTTTTGGCATTTAAATTGGGGACACCCTGTATATATTTTATATCTATCTAATGTTCTTATAGGCAAACACTAAACCTGTTTCATCCTTTAAAATATAAGCATATTATATAGTATCTTATAAATCCAGTATTCTGTAATAAATGTATCGATTGCAGTATATATAATTAACTTGTATATAACATTTATTCAATCGAAAATATCATGAAAGTTACGTGCTCAAAAAATCACAATCCTTTAAATATGATTGTATGAGTTGTGTTTTTTACTATAAACGCTTGGTTAAATTAAAATACATGTTAATGTTGCATTGGCATTTATTTGTTAAATTATAAATTTACGCATGTACAATTTTACAATTAATCATACATCAAAGTATTGTAAAATGTTACAAATCGTTTTAGTAAAATTATTTATTAAGAATAGCGATCTTTTTTGATGTCTTAAGATTTATTTAAACTTTTCTTATACATGGGATAAATCTTGCGAGATTTTACAGAGAAGCAAAAGACCACAACCCGCTTTTTATTAATTTTTTTAATAAAATTGTATTTTTTTTGCAAAAATTTAAGTAAAGGTATTAAGATGACAGCTTGAAAAGTGAATACTTTACGAAATATTATATATTTAATCCATCAAATTTTTGTTAATATCTTCTTGATAAGAAACTTGTGTATATTTTTTTTCTCCCTAGTATATATTTAAAATAATAATTAATTTAATTAATATTTTTTTAAATGTATCTTATAATATAATAACTATTTATACAGTAATATATTAGCACTTATAAAACAAACATAGTTATTAATCATACATTATTTGTATATGCGTCATGTTATCTGCAATCAAGGATTAGAAACCTTTTCTTGGTTTTATTGAGAAGTACGATAATAATCGCCATCGAAATTACGCGTAGAACTTTCCATAATGACGAATGAGTTGAATAGGAACTACTCGACGCGCAAATTATGTATGTACATATATGCAGATGTCTTCTGTATGTATTTCTATTGATTTCAGAAAACGCTGACAATTGACGTCTTTGGAAAAAGGATATTTATGCAAATAGTAATTTGCAATAATATCCACTTAGATGATATCATTGTTTGCATCATCTTTTCAACTTAAACTTGCTAAAATGATGGCAGTGGCGGGTGATAAAACAAAATAATTTCTACATTTGGAAGAAATAAAATAATAAAAGCTACATTTGTGTAAATAACTTTTTATTTACACACATAAAAACACCAGACACGAGACACGACTTCATAAAACAATCGTAAGGTTTGGAATTGACAGGAGTTCGCCAAATCTTATTCTTGAATTACGTTGCAAATTTTTTTTACGCGATTCATTCACAAATAAATTTAAAACGGAGATAAAACCGGAATTATAAAGTATGAATACATTTATATCTACACTGCGATCAACACTGACTACATCAGCAAGCCTCGTGTAAATCGTAAATCACTGCAATTGATATTTGTCTTTTTTTCTTGAACAGAGATAATTTTATTACTCAACCACAATGATAAGTAATCAATGCGCGTTAACTCCATTTGTTCTCCAAAGCTCTTAACTTTCTTTACCACAGTTACTTACTAACATTTCCGCTCCCGCGCGTAATTTATGCAAAGAAAAACACATTAGCGTACTTTACTTATATATGCATGGCCTAAAACGATATTTTTATCTCGGACAAGACTTAGTAAATAAAACGAAGGTATCCACCTCTCTTCGACGCGTTTCTGTTCCGGTGGAGCGGAGATATTCGAACACATTGAAAAGTTACGCGCCGGCTTGAGAAATCTCGCAGTCGTTTCTCAGTCGTCTTGTAGTTCGGAGCGTGAAGTCAAAGGAGGACCTCTTGTCTTCTCAAAGTATTATTTATGTTGAATTATTATTTTTATCAAGAGAGAGAGAGAGAGAGAGAGAGAAAGAAAAAAAGAGAGAGAGAGAGCAAAGTGATGCTAGAGCGGCCACGTTCGCTGCACATCAAGATCTGTCGAAATATACGAGGAATACTGAGAATATTTCTTGAGAAAACTACGAGAAAAGCGTAACAAATGATCAGTAGAGGATAAACGCGAAAGCAGTTGTCGGATAGTTGTCCGACCTAATTATAGCAGAATTTGGATTTTGACGTTTGAAAGAAAGGGAAAATATATATAATAAGGAAGGAAAGAGAAAAAGTACCCTAGTTTTGTGTATTAATTGTTAATGCGTAATAATCGTTAATTTTTTTTTTCCGTGGCAGTGCAAGTGTCGAGGAAGAAAAAAGAAGAAAAATTTTCTATTAATATTTGTATTTATGAAAAAAAAAAAATAAGAAGAACGTCATTGCTAATCTTTTGTCGGAATTCTCGTAAAGATAGAGACGCATGTAAAACTGCGTCACTATCTGTATTATCACTGAGTGACATGAAACAGTGCGCATAAATCGTAGAATTTATCAATAAAAATAAAATTATATAACATCAGAGAGAGGTAATAAGTGTATATTGAAAGAATCGCGAGCAAATAAGCACTTGTAGAGTGAAGATTGACATGTGAGTGTGTGTGAGTGAAGATTTGACATTAAAAAAGAATCTTTAAAGAACTGTCAATAAGTACTTATATTTATCTATGACAAAAAGACACATTATCAATATATATGTCATTTTTAAATCATCGAATATTTGAAAGATCACAAAATTTGGAAGACTAATATTTGTATATTAAAAATAATTTCCCGTAGAAAATAAAAGGGGAGACATTCCTTATTTAAAAATATATTAATATAAATTATATTTTTTGTGTTATAATATCATAAAATTTCTATACATAAGAAAAAA